TCGAATTTCAAATTAAGCACTAAAAGTGTTTTCCCGATTCAGATTGCAAAAAACTCTGCTGTCTTATTGCTCCACGACGTCTGCAATAACAAACAATTAATTAAATAATAAAATGAAAAAAATAACTATTAATTTGATAAAGAAGAATGTCTCATTGAGAACCAAAAAAAAAGTGGATTCGTTCAAACGGCCTTATTCCTTAAGTAAATGTTTAAAAAAAGTATTAAATCTTCTTACCTGAATGAATAAGAAATAAGTTTAAGAATTTTTTCAGTCAAATTTGATTTTATAATTTAAACTAAATTCATAAAAAGAGAATTTGGAATATTTACTTTATTTTTTGCCACGTCTCGCTGTTATTTTAATCCTATAATCCGAGTTTAAAAGTTTTTTCGTTCGTGCTTTTTCATTGCATTTGAAAGTCAGTGTGGATTTGTGACCAGAATAAGATTTCCATCCTCATATTGTAAGTTACACTTAAAATTCTTTCCTTCTCGTATAAACTGAAAAGTAGAATAAAATATTGAAAATATACAAGCGACAGATATACAGAAAATCAGAAAGAAAAATCTTTCTTGAAAAATAAAAATAAAACAGCGTGAATTGATAATTCATTATTATAATACAGGTTTAAGAGTTTATTGATTTATTCGTTTTATGATCAATTTCACATAATTCAGGGAATTAAACTCAATGAATTGAAATGAACCGATTTGACTCAAGAGCAACTGGTGCTCTTCTATCTTCCAGAAAACGGGGGGGGGGGGGGTCAGTAATTAATCGAGAGATCAAGCCACAAAATGTTGGAACGAAATTTATCGGCAAGTCGCCAAATGCGGGACGTGTACGGCTCAGAAGACATACCTACAGATAGCTAGTTAAACGGAAAACGAGGCAGCAAGATAAGAGGCAAGCAGCAGAAGGTAACACTAAATCAAACAGCGAAAAAAATAAAGTTTTTGTTCTAACGATAACCTTTGGGTTTTAGTTGCAGTGTTGGGTCATTGTAACACAAGACGCGACGCCCAAGTGTCTGCGAATTTTCCACATTGTTCTTTACTCTCATGCCGTTCACGTCTAACCAATACCAGTATGTCTCAAAAGGGTATTCAATGTATCGTACCTCGCTGGAAATATCAGATAAAACCCCGGCCTCGAGTAACCTAACCGGACTTAGGTAAATGTCTGTATGGGGGCCAATTCAAGTGGAAAATGTTCATTTCGAAAGTGCACTCCTGGTGGACATCTCTCTTCTCTCATGTATATATATCTATATATGAAGGCAAACCACGTCGTTAAAGGAGTATGAGAATACTCCCTAGTGGTTCTCGGAGCCAACAAGTAATTGAGATAGTTTCACTGACGTTTGACGTAGTCATAAAAGCGACAGAAGTACTTATGACATCACACTCATCTAGTATCAACCAATTTAAGAATATTTACTACAGAATTTTTTTTCTATTAAATTTATTTGTGGTTGAATACTGGGCTAAAAGATTCAAAGAATACCGAATCCGAAAAGTGAACTTAAACCCGAATACACCGCCTAATTGCCATGTCCCCCTTTCCCACTGTTTTGGAAGTAACAGAATTGTGATCCAATAAATTTATTTGTGGTTGAATACTGGGCTAAAAGATTCAAAGAATACCGAATCCGAAAACTAAACTCAAATCCGAATACATCCCCTATTAGCCATGTCCCCCTTTCCCATTGTTTTAGAAGTAACAGAATTATTTTCGTATTAAATTTATTTGTGGTTAAATACTGGGCTAAAGATTCAAAGAATACCGAATCTGAAAAAGTAAACTCAAATCCGGATACATTACATAATTACCATGTTCATATTTCCCATCGTTTTGGAAGTAAAAATATTCCCCACCGTCAACACTTATCCCAATTCGAGTAAATTTTAAGATTCCCCGTTCAAAAAAATTTTCCCATTCCCACACGTGAATATAGTGACTAAGTTTAAATTAATTTACAATTTAGAAGATTAGTGATATGAATATATATAATAGCTAGAGATGATATTCAATAAGGGATAATGATGGTTGGATAACTGTGCATTTGATGCTCCTAGAAACGTGCCTCCCTTACATATGTCGTTATTCTACACCAAAATTTGATTAATTCATAATGCAATAAGGATTATATTCCAATCGAATGGCAAATGTCATTAGCTCTGTATTGAGAAATGAATGAATTATTCCAATTTAGATTCCCTATGTGAATCGTGAAACTAATTCATTATACTCGAAATGTTTGTGTATTCAATTGTCCGAGCGTGGTGCAAAATGATATTCATTACGCGAGCCTGTTGTATATCACGCCTGATTATTAATGTCAACCTGAAAAGTAAATGAGCATTGTTTTAATCATTGTTGACGATAACGATATACACAAAACCACAATTCAAACCCTATCGTTAATGAATAAAATAAGTTACTTATCATAAAAAGAACATAATTTAAACAATATACTCCATGTGCAGGAAATTTATATGAAATTGTACATATTATGCATATCTCATATTGCAATGTTTGAAACGAACAAGTTTCTCAATAGTAATAATAATAATTATTATTATTATAACTTGCCGCAAATACACATGTATTTTGTTAATATATGTTTATTCATATATATATTTTTGGGTATATTTAATATTCAACGTCAAGTGATATTTCAGTTTAGACTTTTGACATATTAAGGAGGAATAATTAATAAAAAGAGGAATATTTGGTTGCTCTCGATTTCCAGAAATGTTTATAATCTTTATGAATGTTGCATTAATTCCCACTCTGACGGATAAAATATTTATAAAGATATTAAAAGAAAATTTCAAAGTTATTTGAAGAACGACTTTTTTATAGAGAGAAAAAAGTTTCTACTCCACGGGGACGACATGATGTTCATGAATTTAAAAATTAAGATTAAACGAGCGCAAAATGGAAGCTGTGAAACTTATATAAGCATAATGGAGTTGTTATCCCGTTTTCTTGAGTTTGTAACACGTATGGTAATCATGGCGTTTATCATACGATCCAATTATGGCTCGACTCGTCCATTAGGGTGCTTTTAGTGCGGCACTGTCGGTCTTCAGTAAAGTTAAGGGATGCCAACGGGGGCTCAAGTGGTACGGAAAATTGCTAGAGAAACTTGGAAATATGCGAGAAAGAGACTCGCGAGGTCCTGAAGTTATATCGCTGTCGCCATAGTGAAACTAGCGAAGCATGTCCCATCACGATTAGAGTATATCTCAAGAGAGTGCGGAAGAGAGAAACCTTTCCGTCACACATGTTTTCACCAATCTTATCTTTCCTTCCCGCTCTCTCTCTCTCTATCTTTCCCTTTTTCATTCTCAACACCTCTTGCAATCTTTATAAGTGTTAGCAAACGTCAAGAAGCAAATTTAATCTTCTAGACTCTCTTGGATGTTTTGCGAGGTTGAAAACAGATATGTTATAATTTTATAATTTGTCTCATAATTTATTTTCCAAGATGAGAGGCATATGAAGAACGACATAGAAGGTTCATGGCAAGGTACTTATTTTCCTCATTCTTTATTCGTACAGTAAAGTTGATTTTCATTTTGCTTAAAAAAATTTATTTGTGGTTAAATACTGGGCTCAAAATTTTCCAATAATCGAAATATTATTTAATACTAAATTTACGTAAACAGTAATCTGTGCACACGGTAATTAACACATTTTCCATTTTGTTACGATAAGTAAATAATCATTATTGCCGTAACAAAGCTACTGTCAGTTAAATTCTGTAAATCTCTTTCATAATTTATTCGCCTCTCGATAGAAATAATGATTGTTCGATAAATGTTAAATTAAAATAAACTTTGCCATTGATTCACGAAATTGTTCAACATAGATTAGTGGAAGCTTAGTATTTATTCTTGGAAAAATTTTAAAATATTTAAGTTTAATTTGCTTTTGTTTCTCTTCTTTATCTACAGTAGTTCATTGTAGATTACTTAGCAACTTAAGGTTCAGGTTAATAAAAATCTTTTTGTTTTGATTATTTTCTTCAATAATAACTTGGCGCTAAAAGCTTAATTTTCCTTTAAAGTTCCCTTTAAAGGTGAACTTAATACAGTGTAAAATAATTAAATTCGTTAAAGTAAAAAATTAAACTAAAAGTTATAAAATCCTTGTTAAAAGGGTGAAAATATTCTTTTATTAAAAAAATCTTATTCATTAAAATTTTTTTCGTGTTCTTTAATGACCTGGAGTTTTTCCCCGACGACATTTAAAACAAAGTGAAAAATATGAAATTGAATTAGGAGAACATTTTAACTAAATTGGACGACTTTACACGAAAGTAAAGCGAGACTGGGAAAAAAAAAGGAAAAAGCTTATAGTCTCACTATTTCGTTTAAGATTTTAAGAAAATTTGTTTCGCTAGTGTAAACTCGTGTGCCTTAGGAGACGACAGAGTCTCCATCTAAAAAGATTCGCTCAAGCGCAATTTCTGCACCGTTTGGAAAATTGCATTCGACCAAGTTGTTGCGTTCAGATTCTCCTGGGAATTTGAGTAGACGGTACAACTCTTTTCTGTACGCTAGCCGAATACAAAATATCCAGCATCGTTCACTTAAAGTCGTACTTGTAATTAATACTTATATTAGGAAAATTAATGTCATATGGAAAATTTATTTTGAATAACATCTTTGCTAATAATTTCATGATAAATTAATTAATATCTATAACTTGTAAAAAATTTATTTGTGGTTGAATACTGGGCTTAAATTTTCAAGGAATCGAGAACTAACCCTACCCACAAATTGTTCCCTACCTTTTATGTTAGCCTGAAAAAAGTAATTATAAAAAGAAAGATGCTTTAAAATTTAGAAATCCGATGAAAACAATTTCTATTCTTTGACGTTAATTTATCTAGAAAACCATGAAATCCTGATGATTTAAATGTAAATTTACATAAAATTAAGTTTCTGCAATTAAAACATAATTTTTTTTAATTTCTGTTTTAGATTGGCGCTTTGACCAACTACTTTCATTTATCTCACGAGCGGCTGAGAAAACGATCCCCTGCTCCAAGCGATTATCATAATAAAAAACTCAGTGATGAGCCGGAGGTAAGTTTTATATTACATTAAGATTCTTTTTAATGTCTAGATGTTTTTATGTTGTGATTATGATTTATTCAAAAGTAATTAAAAAACACATTTTCTTAAAAATGATAAAATTTTATTTTATTTTAATGATAAAATAATAGTTTTCTTTTTGTAAATATAAAGAATTCTATGTTCACTGTTTCTTTATTATTTAACTTAAAACCGATTTTAATTATTCTAATTTTACGTCTCAGAAAAAGACTTGTAAATAACCAATTTAATTTTAAAACACCCCATTATTTCAAGAAGAGGGTTAAATTTCGTAGAAAAATGAATCCAAGATTTACAGGTGACGTTTCAGAACATTGCATTATGATAAGAATAGTTGACCCCTCGATTAATTGTAGACATATAACAAGGTGACACTTTTATATTCGAACTATGCTGATACTTTTATATTCTTAAATTTCTTAAATGATTTTCACGTTCAAATTATTCCTTGATATCAATAATTAGGATGGCTAAAGTTGCTCATCAGTAATTGATATGGTCGACAGAATTCTCTAATGGCCAAAGTAAAAACAAACAGTAATTAAAAAGAACAGTGAGTTTTAACTGTAAAATCGAGGGTGAATATTTATAGTTAGTCACGTGATAACGATAATGAATCGTTGAGACGTTAACTCTCTGAGTGGACGTCGATGTCATTAGACGGAAAACTGATCGGGGGTGACTTATTACAAACATGGATGGATATTGATAAATTAATGGTTATGCAGAAAAGTGGTTTGTTCAGAAAACACTTTAATTGGCCACTTGGCTAGGAATTTTTTCCAAATATTCAAAAGGCATATAGATTACTTACATTTTAATTATTAAGTCAAATTAAAATTATGTTTCAATATTTATTTTTCTAGAGGCTCTATGATATAACAAAAAAAAGAAATATTTCTTTAGCCTAGAGAACTTCGAATAAACATGATCCCCAAGCCTTTTTTGTATGTTATTAACTAATTTATTAGTTAATGAAATTTGAAATTTTCTCCAGAGTTTGGCATAATTATCTACGCTTCATCTTCTCAGGGAAATCAGAAGTAGACAGAAAACTAGTGCACGATTCAAACGAGGTTTTGACTAGGTTAAAACTTATCCTACTCAAAATTCAATTTTCAAAGTTAACCCACGAATTCATGCGAACCGTTCATAGTTAGGCTCTCGTTAACATTCATATGCCACTAATTGCACGTTCAGTAGCAAAGCACTGCGTTTCTACTTGAATGAAAAACACCGTGTGTCGGTTACATAAAGTACTCAGTCAGTTATAATTCAACAAATTCAAGATGAAGTCGTACGTGACTTAAATGAATCTTGGAAATTCAATTAATTTTCCTAATATATCAAAACTCTAATTAACGGTAATGGTAATTGAAAATGAATTGACAAATTGTATTTCAATTGCAATTACATCATAATAAATAGTTACGTTATCTACACTTAACTACCGAATCTAAGAATTTTGAACAATACTTGTGGTGCTTGAATTTTAAATAATAAATCTCTCTACTTAACGTCAAGTAATATCACTGAGGCTTTTAATCTTGTATTCTTACGCCAAAATAAGGAACGCAGTAGCTGAAAAGTTGCAGATTAAATTTAATTTTGAAAAGCGTTTTCGGCTAGCAACTTTTTTTTATCTTGACCTATAGGAATTGTTAGGCAGGACCAGGAAGTTCTCCTCTAATAAAATACATGGATTAGCTCTGCTCTATTAGTGGATTGACAAACTGGACATGAAAAGAGAATAAGTTTTAAGCTTGATATAAATTTCTAAATAAAATATTTTATGTTGATTGGATTTATTTTTTATTTCAGGTGCATTGGGTACAGCAGCAACATGAAAAGAAACGAAAGAAGCGCGACTTTCACGGTACTACATATACATTTTCCGAATACCCACATTTCTTGGACCGATTTGGTACGCAACAACGATCCTTTGCCCATCGACAAAGAAATCGAGAAATTTCTGTTCAAAATTTATTTCCCGATCCTCTCTATAAAGAGGAATGGTATATGGTAAGCGAAAATTTTTAAAGTTTAAAAAAAATATCTTTTACTCTTTATTTAGTAATATCAAATATAATTAATAATATTTTCATGTTAATATTGATACAGTAGTAAATTAAATTTCTGCCGTCTATTGATACATATTCTAAAGTATTTCATTAAACAGTTAATATTTGGGGTTTCCAATTTTAATTTGAGATAAAATAATTTATTAATTAAAATCCCAAGTAATTAATTACTTTACTAGAATACGGTATCACTAACAATAAGTATTTATAATACTGTGTGTCCATTATAACGTGTACATTATTAAATATAAATGACTACATGCTGAGATAAGCTATTTAGATTTCTATTTTACCTTTGTCATCATATGTACATTAAATTAATTTTAATAATAATGAAGCTCTTAACTTTCATCCCAAATTGAAATGTACACACATGCAATGCAAAGATTTAAATTGTTCAAGTTTTTCCCGAAAGAGAAATTAGAAAGCTTGTAAATTGAGAAAATAATAAATAATCATATTGCTAATAAGTGATAGCCCTTTCTTTTTCCGTTGGTAAACAAAGTTATTCGTAATAGTAAAATAAGTGAATAGAAGAAAAGAAGTAATGGAGAAGAAACTTTTCGTAAATAAATTTTAAGTTTTAATTCAATTGTTAATTTTTGCAAATGTATTGGTTAGTTGTTAAAATTGAGATTTTCACTGATTCGAAAGTTTTCATTATGTTTGGAAGAAAATCGACATCACTTGCTGTAACTAAAGTTTGAAACTCTCAAGTTCGGCAACTCATACCTCTTCATTATTAATAGACTCTATATAAACTAACTTGATTAACACTTTAGGAAGTTAATCGTCTAAGGCTAGGTCACCCTAAACTCGAAACGTAAAGTCTGGATCTCCTTAGATACTAAAATGCGGTTACTTGAGTCCTGCAGCAGTTTACTTAGATTTAGAAGACCCGAATACTTTACACCTGTAGTCACTTTCATACTTTATGACGTCTCGATTAATGGTCCTTCAAGAATCATCAATTTAAACACTGAATTGCCGTTTTTTAATTATTGAACACGTTCTTTTCGAAAGGGGGAATTTACGAGATAGATCTTGTAAGATTTTTTTTACCTGTGTACATGATGCGAATCTAGAGGTTTTATAAATAAATGGTTAGTAAAATTTACAAGGTTTTGTTAAAGTAAAAGAATGCTCTGATAGCTTTTTAGCTTGTTCTAAAATTGGGACTATAATACAGCTTAAAGCCACGCTAGCTGGGTCCTAAGATCGTCATTTTTTAGCCTTCTGATGGTGTTTGTAAAGTATTTACCAAGACTTCGTCGTCTTTAGTAAAGATGCTGATGATCGTCTTTCTCCTTTGTTTCTACATGCTTGGATCTTACTTCCTGTATGAGCGATGTTAGACCTTTAAGTCCCTCCTTGATTGTCATGTTGACATTCTCTTGCACCTCGCAGGAGTTTAGTATTTTACTGGCCTCCTCCGCAAATCTTTTAATGCTTACTGACTCCTCATTCCGTAGCTTTATGCATGCACCTCTTTCTTCGTTGCAGCTTGCGATGCCAAACTACAAGTTCAAATGCGTTGCTGAAAACAGACCTGGAACTGGATTTACCAACTGGCACTTCTCTTATTTATTTACCAGCTTGCACTGGATTTACTCCTTGCTTGGTCCATAATGATCTGTGACACCATCAAAGTTTTGTTGCCCTCCTGCATCCTTTGGCTACTTACCTCCGTCCCCAGGTTAGGCGCTTGATGACTGGAACCAGTGACAGTTTTGAAGAAGTCTGACCACTTTTTGGATCAGCATCTTCTTTAATATCTTCCTCTAAGCGATCCTCTGCCCCCACGAGTCCAACACCAAATGATCAGGCAGGATTCTTTCCTCACTTTAGTCAGAAAAGCTTTCCAGATCACCTGGTCTCTATAGTACCATTAGACTCAGGTACGAGTGCCAAATTGAGGATTTTTTCCAATACGCGAGTCAACTGATCTTTCTTCTAATTAGTCACCTCTTACGACACGCAGAAGACTACTTTAGGATTATTCGTCTGCCAATGTTCACACTGACAACTTCTTGTTTTTACAATTGTTATTAATATTTTTTGTTGTCTACTTTTTGATTTCACCTGATCACCCTTTAAGGGTTTTCTTAAGGGGATAGGCCACTTAGAGGCACACCCGAAGAAGGTTCAGCATCCCCACAGACGCCTGTATCCGTAAAGTTATTGGACCCATCTGGTCTAGTATTTCCAAATATTAGGAAATGGTTATCCTAGCCCTACGAATATTTTTAACACCCACTACTATCTGTAATCAAATTGCAAGCATTGTGCCATTAGATAAAATATCCATTCAGCAAAAAAATAAATGTATTTCTAATAAACTTAAAGTCGAAGAAGGTTCAATCATATAATATATTACTTTCCCAAAGCACCGTATTATCCACCCACAGTAGATTATTATAAGATCATAATATACGACTCCAAATATATCGGTGTGCGTGGTTTAGCTTAGACACAAAAAATAAAGGTTAGAACCTAACTCCCCCTATCTAAGGTCGTTTAATTCACGTGTGGGGGTAGCTAACATATTTCTATATGAGGTTGTGTTAGTAGCGACGAAGTAAGAGATTCTCGAGGGCCTTTTAGGATTTATATTTGACACATAACGTTCCGCCCTAGCTATATTTTCTTGTTCCAGACAATATCTTTCTTGTTTCACATCTTTCCTTTCAAAACATTTCTAACAAATTTTTTTTTCAAACTTGCAGAATATTTATGACTTTATCTTCATATCTCTTTTATTTTATTTAACTTTATAAGCCTCAAAGGATGATTGTAAAAATCTTGAATTTGAGATGGAAAATTATTTTGTCTTTTTCCACAAATCTCTCTCTCTCTCTCTCCAAAGGATATTATTCATGCCAAGACGGAGATTAATTTTCTCAATGAGAGTTTTCATTTAATTTTACGCTAAAGAAAAATTTTATTAGATTCAGAAAAATATGAAAACCGAGTTTAAACGTTGATAATATCCTGTAAGTTGAAAATTTATATAGTCTGTTAAAGTAAGATTTAGAAATTTAATATTTAATTTTAAAAGATTAATTTTTAAAACTTTAACTCACGTGTCCTTTGGACAAAAGAAATTGTAAAGGTAGTGGATTCCCCCTCTACTTAGTTATTGATTCAACTAAGAGGTTGAGAACCCTACTCTTAAGTAAAATGAGAAGATAGGAAAATTATTAGGATGTTTAAATTAAAATGCAATATTAAGATGAAAACAATTAATTGTATATTTTGCCCAAAAGTCCCTAATACAAATAATCTAATTTTTACGTGTGTAAAAGAGAGTACTTTGTATACGTGTGAATGAAATTGTAGTGTGTGTTATTTGGTGTAAGACTTTTACACTTACTACTCAGTAATTCAAACTCTTTGAAATAGTAATCTAATGAAGCGTTCTGACTTCGTAAATTTTAAGTTGTTTTTCCGGAAAACTAAAGAAATACCCAATCTAGGTTCACTAGATTGATATTTCGCCTTGATCTTTAATATTCTTTTTGTTACACAAAATTAAGACTTAAACCCCGTAAATAAAGGCTGTCTTTAAAAAATATATTTAAATTGATATTCTTTTAATAAAATTACTTTTTATTTTATTCTTGCTGATACTAGACTTTTTCAATATTCTCTTTTAATTCTTTTATTTTTTTATATCTCTTTCACGAATTCTTTATTCACTTTATTTTCAATATTCTTTTTCAATTCTTTAATTATTTTTCACTTGTCACTTTTATTATTTTTATATTTCAATATAACTTTTAAAATCAACCTTTCTTTACTTTTTTAATTATTTTATATTATTCTAAATTATAATTCACTTTACTGAATAAACTTTTTATTTAACCCTTATAATTTCTGAGAAAATTCCTTGCTCAGGGATTCCAACTTTAACTCTGATCTTCACGATCAACACGGCCAATTGCCGGACTTAGAATTGTCTGGCCAAAACTGTCGGCTACAACTACAGGTGACTACGACCTGGACTAAACTGCGGGCCCAAACTGACCGGGCTAACTGCCGGCTACAACGGCCTGGCTTAAACTGCCTAGATTTTCCAGTGTCAATCAATTTTATTGAAAGACGATTTAGTGGGGAAATCGTATGTTAAGTTTATTGCACTTGACTTTTGCCAAGCCAATTCTGCAAGCTTGCAGATTTAGGCAGTGGCGTGATCCGAGTTCAGTGACTTAGATGCACCACTCCTTATATTGAGCAATTTACTTTTCATATTTTCTAACTATTCCTCAAAAGGGTCAATAATCTGTTTGTCCAAGAAAAGGAATTTATTAAGAAATACCGTGTTATATTCTTAGGTTTTTCACCTCAAAATTGTGAAACTTAAAGGAATGTTAAATTTTATTATATCTATTATTTATATAGAATTAGATTTTTATCCGATTAAAATACTTTAGATTAAAATATTCAAAAAGAAGAATGTCCCTTTTGTGAAATTACAAAGGGTTGTTTTTGTGTAAATGTTTAAGATGTGTTAACAAAATCTTGTGTTGTTTGAATTAATGATGTACGTAATTTTAGTTTGAGTATAATTAAAAAAGGTATTACGAAAATTGACCTTTGCAAATCTAATAAAGATTTAATCGGTTAGTTAAAAAATATTAAAGAAAAAAGGTCAAAATGATACATAAATAAGAGGTAACAGAAGAGTAAACAAAGAAAAAAATTTGAATGGAATTTGGAAGAATAATTTTCTAAAGGAAATGTTTGAAAAATTATATAGCAAAGGGAACTATTGATTTTAGTCACTAATAGAATTTTCTCATGTTTCATCTTCTTCATGTTTCTTTTATTTTCTCTAACTCGTACATTCAATGGGTTCGTCTTTCATTTTCACATGATTTTCTTCTGTGTATTTTTCTTTGTATTTTTTTTTGCATTAAGACTAGTAGGAAAAAAAACTATATAGAAAAATATTCAAAGATAAAAGAGAAAATAAGCAAGAAAGAGTGAAGGCTCACCGACTGGGTACATTGTGTTTCGGACAATGCCACTCTATTGTCTCTTTCATCAACGCACGCGGTCGTCAACAATTGTACAAAAGGCGAAAAATATTTCAAATTTTGCGGAGTATATATTGACGAATAGGGTTTGTCACAATGACAAAGAGTGAATGCAATAATTCCAACAGAGCCGCGTATTCTATTAATACTAATTAGATCCCTAACTGGACATAAATATTATTCTCAAATGTTTTTCTACCACGTTGATGATTCTTCTTTTCTTTAGCTCTATTTACATTTGCAATCTATACTAATAAATAAAATAATTATTATTAACTGAATTACATAGGAAATAATTGTTTAATTAGAAGTGTTTCCGAAGGAACTAACTCTTTTCAACGGGGTTCGTATTTTTATATTCTTGTCCCTTCCTAATTTTAGGTTGGGGTTGGTTTTGGAGATAAATTGTCTCAGAGTGAAGGAAAAGTGTACCGATTGGATCCATGAAAAGGAAAATAGCGAAAATCTCATTAGGTACGTATGAAAGATCATCTGAGACTAACGTGTAATTCCTCTGCTTGCAGAATGGTGGATCGAAGGATGGTTACGATATGAACGTGGCACCCGCCTGGGAGAGAGGTTACACAGGAAAAGGTGTTGTGGTTTCAATTTTGGATGATGGAATTCAAACAAACCATCCAGATCTTGCCGCGAATTACGATCAGAATGCCAGTTATGATATCAATGGGAATGATGATGATCCCATGCCAAGGGACAATGGTGACAACAAACATGGTACAAGATGTGCCGGTGAAGTTGCTGCCGTAGCCTTTAACCAATACTGTGGTGTTGGTGTTGCATACAATGCCAGTATAGGAGGTATTGTCTCTTCGTTTCTAAACTGGAAACTATAGATACTGTCAATAAATTACGAATTGTATCCCTTCTAAATCGCAAAGAATAGAGAGTGAATCCCAATTTTTTGACCCTTTGCACACAAAAAAAGCCTATCTTTTATTCTCAATCACTTTACACCACAATACTCGAAACAATACTTCGGTATTTTCAAATCTTGACAAAAGAGAGATATCGCACAATTTTATCCAACTGAAAGCACTATTGAATTGCTTGTATTTTGTTCCCCCTATTTGGACCACTCAAAATCACTACAATTCAATTGCGATAGATCGCGAGCACTTATTTACAGTCTCTGCTTTTTGAAATAGATTATCAATTTCGTTCTATTTTATTTATTTATTTCCATCGGAAATGGAATTCACTTTTGAATGTATATAACTCTTTTATCGTGCAAGAATCACGGATGCATGAATCACTTTGGAAGACAATTAAATTTTTTTTACTAAATGTTGCGAATCGTTCTAAATAATAATAGTTCAATTTTTTTGTTATCGAATCTTTTTTATTTATTATTTTAACATTTCATAATGGAATATAAAAGATTATTTTAACTTTATTGAAATAATTTTCTCTATCGATATAATCCAGCACACATTTTCTTTCATTTTAATATATCAAAAAAATAAGTTGTTAAAAATGTTTTTAAAATAAAAATGCATAAACCACATCGTTTGGTCCTCTAAATGAAACATCGATATAAAAAATACTGCCCGGGTAAAATCGATATTTGAATATTGATAACTCATCACTATTTTATACTGTTTGAAATGGTTTCAGGAGTTAGAATGCTGGACGGAACAGTAAACGACGCGGTAGAGGCAAAAGCCCTGGGATTGAATCCTGATCATATTGACATCTATAGTGCATCCTGGGGACCGGAAGACGACGGGAAAACTGTTGATGGCCCGGGTCCTCTTGCTAGACGTGCCTTCATTTATGGAGTCACAAGCGTAAGTTTCCGTCATAGATGAAAGTTACTTTTTCCTTCAATATATGTATTTGACAGTAAAACTTGACATTTCTAAAGATATTTTATTATCTACTTACAGCTTGATTCAATTTTCTACATTTTTAAAACTTTTATGGGATAATAAACAATTCTATACTTAAATACTACCACTTGAAGAAAGGTCAAAGTAGTTAATTTAAATATCGGAAAATATCTTAAGAATCAATTTGGTTCTTAATATTTAAAAATTCAAAAATAGATTCCAATATTCAGACAAATTTCAAGTTTCGACGATAACTATCATGCTCATCAGAAGTAAAATCCCTTTATATAGAGTTTAATAACTTAATGCATATCTATATTCAATTTCAATTGATGTTTATTCAATTGTCATGTATTTTGGTATTTTAAATTAAATTTGGACTAAAACTTCATTTAATAGACTGTCAGTACGAACAATGAAATATGTAACGATTTACCACCCGCTTAAACGTGAACGATACAAATGTCAATTCTCTCACTATGACCATTTCTCATTGAAACATGTCATCACTTTACCATTTTTTTTTTAATTCATAATTTTTGATTGATATTTTTATATCGGTGTGAATAATATAGTTTTGAAAAGAGAAAGGAAAATAAATATAGAGAAATAATAATAGAAAGCATTTTTTTATATTCTCTTATGACTAAATTACTCTTTCTATTCTTAGTAATTTACAGAATGTGGTGGAAAACTAAATCGAAATTTTTTTGTTTAAAAATTGTGTCACTATTGAATTGTTAATTCTAATGGATTTTGATAAATTTTTAATAAATTGGACATCTGTGACCAGATAGTTAGTGTGAAATTTTAATTTTAAACTTTTAAACCCGCTTTACAATTTCCCCTCTAAATGTTCGTTTTATTTAACGAGTTAATATTTTAACGTTCACGTTACAATGTTTTATGAAATATTTTTTTATGAAGCTAGAGAATAAAAAAGTGGATTTTTTTTTCTTCTATTTTAGTGGAAGAGAGAAAAAATAGATTAGAGAGATAGAAGGAAAATAAAAAATTCTATATGTTGAAAAGATTGAATTTGTTTGTATGATAAAAATTGGAAGGAGGTAATCAAATTATGTAGAATGGAATTTTTTTATTCCATAGGGTCGTCAGGGGAAGGGTTCGATATTTGTGTGGGCATCAGGAAATGGAGGTAGACACACGGACTGTTGCAATTGTGATGGTTACACGAACAGCATCTTTACCCTCTCGATATCGAGTGCCACTCAGGGTGGCTACAAGCCTTGGTACTTAGAGGAATGTAGCTCAACATTGGCCTCGACCTATTCCTCTGGGTCACCCGGTAATGACAAGAGCATCGCAACCGTTGATATGGATGGCAAACTACGACCGGATCACATATGCACCGTCGAGCACACTGGTACATCAGCGTCGGCACCAATTGCCGCTGGCATCACCGCTTTGGCACTTGAGGCAAATCCCTCTCTAACTTGGAGGGATATGCAGTATCTTGTGGTACTGACATCAAGATCCGCGCCCCTTGAGAAAGAATCTGGCTGGGTTCTTAATGGGGTCAAGAGGAAAGTCTCTCATAAATTCGGTTACGGTCTGATGGACGCTGGTGCCATGGTTAATTTGGCTGAGCAATGGACCAACGTTCCGCCGCAGCATATTTGCAAATCCCCTGAGCACATCAAGGAGCAGCCGATCGACCCGACCTACGGTTATTCACTTACTGTTTCCATGGACGTCAACGGATGCGCCGGGACGCCCAACGAGGTTCAATTCCTTGAACACGTCCAGTGTAAGGTGAGATTTCTGCTTCTCATTATAATCTCATTACAAACAGGATACGTGTCACCTCTGAGTTCTCGTCTCCATTTCTGCTCGGCCTGTAACGATACTTTGACACTCAAAGGGATCAAAGGAGCGTAAGCAATTTATTTACATTGCCTCTCATTCCGCTACCTCTAACAATGTCAGATTAGAATTCTATAATCAATTTCATGTTTTTACTTTCTTTTTTTTTACGTTTATTTACTCTTCCCCAAAAGCAAGGTTCGAGGATCTAAATTCGGGAAAATTTGACAGTTTGAGTTAAATAACTTGTTATTTAGTTATTCAGAATTCAGTTATCTCCTGCATTGACAAAGTATCTTGTTACTATGTTGCTCCTCTAATTACAAGACATAACAAAATAGTGGGAAAAATTTGAGAATGTTGGTCACGATGTAATTATAAGAGAGTCGTTAGAAAATAACGAGTCTTGTCACAATACGGTGTTTAGGAAGAATGAGGATAAATGTAGATAAAGATCAAAACGGGTTTAGTCGAAGTTGTTACATGACGGGCATTAACGAGAACAGATGAAGGTAATAAGCCAAGACAGATGTATAGATGAGAGGACAGAGAAGACGCGGATTTTTCTTATCTTTTGCAGGTCTCCCTCAGATTCTTCCCTCTAGGAAATCTCAAGCTCCTCCTGACCTCGCCAATGGGAACAACATCCACTCTTCTCTTTGAGCGACCACGTGATATATTCAACTTCAAATTTGACGACTGGCCCTTCCTCAGCGTCCACTTCTGGGGTGAGAAGGCCGCCGGGCGTTGGACTTTACAAGTCATCAACGCCGGTAGACGTCACGTCCAGAAACCAGGCAAGTTTCTAAACATCAATAATTACTCTTTATTTATTATTCTATTTCTCCCATTTCTATTTCATCATCACTTATGCTTTTCAGTTACATATCCCAATTTTTGACTATAAAATTATATTTTTTCTTGTTTCGTTTTATTTTAAAAAGCAAAGAATTAATTTACAAAGGGGAGACAAGTCTTCTGTAGAAGGAATTTTAATTTTCAATATAGAAGGTAGGATTTGATATCAGGGGTAGAAAATGAATGGAAGAATCGACATTCTGTGAATCATGGGTAAGATAATAATTGATGATTGTTGACTAAACAACAAACGGTCTGTTTTCTATTTATTTATAATTTTACTAATCCCACGTGCTTAAAATCATCACCTAAAAGCACAAAATGTACATACTTTCACATTTAACGTACCACTTATATTTACATCAATTTTTTGGTTCACTGCTTAAAATGGAAATTGCCAAAGGTGCTAATTTCATTAAATGGATAAATACCGAAATTAAAGGGAATATGCTTTTCCATAAAGCAATTAACTTTTGCATTTTACAAATTTTCACAAACGAACACAACAATTAATAACATATTTTTTCTCTTGATTCAATAATAAAATAAAAATTATTCAAAGAAAACTACAATTATTGGTAATTAAATGTTTTAGATGTAAGGGAAAAAATTATCAGGAACTTTTTTTTTTCATTAGAACTAGTTGAACTAATAAATAATATTGACTAACTTAACTAAAGTTTGAAACGAATTGAAAAATGGCAAATAGTAATGAAAATTTGTTAATGGTTGTTACAGGAATTCTGCAGAGATGGCAACTGATCTTTTATGGAACGGCAACGAATCCGATAAGGATAAGATCTCATCAATTTAATCCGGTACAAACGGCTTCTCAAGCATATTCCTCCTCTGTAGAATATCCATTTTTCTTTGATCAACATCGCCCTGTGGACGAATTTCGCGATACCGACTTCTTTGCACGGTCTGGCTTTCAGGGATACCAGGGTCCATACACGGGTGCCGCCTCCAATGTTGAAGCCTCAGTGACGACTCTCGATGGCGCATCCAATCCACTTTTGACGAATCGACTGCCTGGAGATCTTTCTCCATCGGACGATTCCTTTGATTCGGGAAAGAAAATTCGACAGCATGACTGTGATCCACAGTGCGATAATCAAGGATGCTATGGTAAAGGGCCAACTCAATGTGTCGCCTGCAAAAGTTATCGACTCGACAAGTAAGTCAATGATTATAATTTTTACAAATATTTTCCTAGCATTACTCAACTTATTTCATCAGGAAAATTGAAGCCTTTTATGTTATAACGGTTGTTTAATGATAAATTAATATTTATGCAAATATCAATGAATCCTTTCATTGTCATTGACAAGTGTTATGTCTTAGAAACAATACATATTCCAAATTATATTTTTAATTTTATAACGGGGAAATTTATAGTTAAGTATAATTTACTGAATTAAAAACTATTGCATCGTTAACCCGAAATTCAAACACTATGATCTCAGAACTCTAATTTACAAAGGACACAAAATTTAACAAAATCTCATTAAAGGGGGGAACTGCTGAGAATAAAAATCGCGATGCATCGATCTCTAGTGATAAATGAATTTCAAACCTTCGTTGAATGAACTCGCCAACAACCAACGGCGTCTCCAAACTCCAACGGTCAATTCGAACACAATTAGCAAAGAAAATAATTTAAAGGTTAAAACACCAAATAAAATAGCAAAAATTATTTAAAAAGAAACTGATAATTTATTAAGAAATTAAAATAAAATATTAAAAATGGCAATAATTCAACTTTAAAATATCTTTGATTTTTGCACACACGAAATTACAAATTCAGACCAATTACAATTTCAAACTCAACCAGCTCGATTGATATCTGGGCGACGAGTGTTCCTCCGATCCGCGGCTTTTCAGGAAACCAGCAGCGAATTTGGGAAAACTCCTTCCTTATCACACCTCATGATTTTTCCTTTGAATCCTTTCTTGTCGAATATCAACGATACCTATTAGAAAGAAGGGAAAGGGTCGCTAAAAGCCATGTGACATCTCCCTCTTATCAAACAGACGAGAAATCATTCAGGGAAGGGGCACTAGGTGAGATAGACACAAGACGCTGACCAACGGACTATACCAAAATTGGGAAAAATGCGATGGAACGATAGAAAAGACGGAGACAAAGTCACTAACTATAGCACTGGACTCAGAACGAAAATTTGCCTATACAAGTAACGATTTACTTCGTTACAATTTATCCTGTAATTGGTGATCCAATACCTGATTTATTCACAGAGCGGAAAGCTCTGATCTTAAGGGGCAGGTTTAAAGAAAAGAAGAAACTATTATTTTAAGTTATGATTGACAGTTTATTTTGAATCCTCGTTCAATGGATAGAGAGAGATAACAGATCCAGATGTCTAATTTTTGGTTACTGGAACAAAATTAAAATTCGTGAGAGAACTATTACATAGAAGAGATTATTTATGAGCGGTTACAATATTTATAACTTAATTTTAACCTGGGATCGTTGACCCAGGAAAACAGTTTCGTTGACTAGAAAAGTGAAAGAGAACCTCTGTCGAAGAGTTTTCGGGCCAACCAAATATGCGGTCCAGAGTCTAGGTGTCGAATGCCTTTGAGAATACTATTTTACGATCCAAATACTATTTTTAGTAGTCCAAACACTGGTGGTTGATTGGAAGTTTTTTCTGGACTGACACAAAGCTGGTTCAGTGGAGATTTCTGGACTGGCAAATTCGACAAGGGTGTCTCCTCTTATACTATTCCTTTTGCAAGGGAAACACCACCCACTTTTATTAAATTTTGGGTCAAGACGCATTTTATTGATTAAATTTTTAACTCCTGTATCGAGCAGGTTAGGACCCAGTAAAAGGGTAGCAAAACACAGATGACCATATTTGGTATCTGCTATCCGAATGAAGACTTGGATCAATATAGTTTAGATTTTGAGAAAACAAGGATTCAGTTATTTTTAATTTTACAAAATATTATTTAAATATAAATACGTCGAGATGAAGTGACACAAATTATGAAAATTAACAAGTCACATACTTTCATCAAGGAAATTAGTGCTACTATGTCCGCTGATTTCATTCCACTATAGATAACAAAATAGTTTAGGGATTTATGGATTTTTAGGGTTTAGGGATTTACCAGATTTACTCGAAAATATCACATCTGTCTAACTTTTTAATAAATTATTTAGTTTAGTTTACATAAAAAAACACCTCCGATGTTAAACTAAATTAGCCCTGCCTGAGGGACTTTATTTTAAAATGAATTAGATCAACAGGAATATATTCGTAAAAAGGACGTGATTTTTCACTGTAATATTCACAATTACTCGAAATCAGAAGTCCTGAATTTCTCAATAATTATAATAATTAAATTACAAATTTTTTTTCATTAACACAACAACTGCTAAAATAATTACGAGACAAATTTTTCCTACCTTATTTTTGCACTTTATATAGCCACCACTCTTTTTAAACATTTTTCTCTTTAATTAAATGAATACCAAACATAAATAACTTCAAATTGTTAACTTCTTCAAATTTAATAAATAACTTCAGTTTATTTTGTTTTGTAATTAAAAAATATTTCACTTTAATTAAAAATTTAATTAAAAGTATCCTGAATTAATTTTTTATTTTCATTCAGATTTTTTAATAAGAAAAAATTTGCAATAAAACAGTTTATAGAAATTTTCACAAAATTTTTAATTAGTGAAGAATAATACTAAAGTTTTAAATAATTATTTAACGAAAAATTCTCCTTTTTAATGGATATTGTATAAATGTCAATTAAAACAAATATTATATAATTGAATTAATGCTTGATTTGTAAACAATTCTTTTATTATTTAATAGATAATAACGTTTGGATTTTATTAAATGGAAATAATGGAAACAATACTTTCTATAGAGAATAAAATATTTTTTAATTAACAAAACATGACTAGAGGCGAAGTATTCGATGATTCATTAGCCTAATGAATTTTTTCATGTTTGATAAAGATTAATTTTATTTTTTTTTTACCGAATAAAAGGAATGCACAAACTATTCCATTTTTAATTAATTAGTTTGCTTTTAGCATCTTCTTTTATAATTTTAAGATTAATTTTATCAGCGAAAATTGTTTCATTCCCTTTATAAATTATAATTATTATTTGACAATTTGAGTTAATTAACCGTTATGTCAAGAATTATTTAAATCAACAATTTATTATTTGACAGTTTGAGTTAAATAACTTGTTATCTCCTGAATGGTTCAGATTTTTTTAATGATAATGGTTCTGATTACATAATTTTATTATCTCAATGATAATTAAATTAACATTGAAATCAGCAATAGTAGATGTTTTTAGATTAGCGAAATTCACAACTGGTTATATGCCCAATGGTTTTTCTCATTGTGTAGCTTAAGATGACAAGACAATTTTTTTGTTTTCCCTTAAAGTAAATTGAGTTATTACAGTATATCATGAGTTTTGGCGCAATTGCCAGCAAATAATATTAGTGTATCTTTCTCATAGCCGGTTCTTCATCTATCAACGGATTTGATGGTCATTAAATTAATAATAAAATTGAAACTTTGTTGTATTAAATTTTTTATCTAAATTTACTTTAATCTAATGATACTTACGTGGAAAATTAAGTTTTCTTATTATGTTTAATGATAAGAACATCTAAAAAATTTGGAGTACCCTTTCCAGCAAGCGTAGCCACTAATAAATTAAATATCTCTGAATCTTTTAACTGTCCATTTTTTAAAGAAAACAATTCAAAAGAAACGAGACTCATAATGTATTTCATACAATTATTTTCCCTTATAATATTTCTCTGTTGTAAATCTTTTTCCTTCGTTGAAAAATATTTCTGGACATTGCGCAAATAAATTTTTTTTTAATGTCCAATATTGAGGGATAGAGTCTGTACCATGAGTTAATAGCGACGAGTACAAGGAGCCTCGTTTCTTGCATTATAGTCCCAAGACCAATAGAGCCAAGCAATTTTGGCTTCTTTCTGAACCGATACAAAATATAATAAAAAGAAAAGGACTCTCTTGAAAAGTTATAAACTCTACTTGGCATCGCAACTGCGAATCTTGTCTTGGCTCATGAACGGAACACTTCCACAATGCCAGTCTGCCATTTCCTAATGACATTATTTTCTAAAGTGCTCATCCCGATTAATTTTAATGCTGAAAAATAATTTCACTTACAACTTTGTCAAGTATATATAAAAATTCATGAATAATTGAACGAATATCATGTAGGATATTGTTTTTAATCTACTAATAGAATCAAAATTTTTCCCTTATAAATTTCTTATGCTTTTTCTTTTGTACCCTAATTTGGAGTTTTCAAATGGACTTTCGAAAAATCTGCTTACAGATATTTGTGAATCCGCATTTCAAATTTTAATTCTATAATCAGAAATTTCAGATCGATAAATAAACGTCGATACCTTACCTGTAAAGGAGTTTTAATACAGATTTCTCTTAACCGTAAAAATATAATTCTTCAACAAATTTCACTTAAATATCTATACAACCTAAATATGAACATATTTTTGTTCACCGTGATTTAAATTCATATTTTTAGCAATAAATATTTTAAATTCAATTAATAATATATAAGATTTGGCGCAATCCCAAAAAGCTATTTTGTAAGTGAATATCCAATATTCATGTTACAGTACATAATCCCTGAATTGCAGAAATAAATATAATAGTTTGTAATCCTTTTACTGTCAGCACATTAAAAAAGTCAACGTTCCACAAAGATTGTGGAAAATGGAAAATGGATTAATTTCAAATATATGGTAATTTAAACAAATGGTACTTTTTCAGTACATGCATAAGTCGATGTCCTCCAAGAAGTTTTCCAAATCAAGCCGGAGTCTGTTGGCCATGTCACGAGTCCTGTGAAACTTGCGCAGGTGCTGGACAGGATTCATGCCTGTCCTGTGCTCCGGCTCATCTTCGAGTTACAGATTTGGCCATTTGTCTACAACAATGTCCTGAGGGCTACTATGAAAGTAAGTGCTTCATTTATCAACTGAATTCCAAGAAATGGGAGACTTGAAATTTTGCCAATATTCCACTCTTTAACTTGATATTTATTTGACAGTCTCCATGTGCCAGGTAAATTTAGAAGAACATTATTCGTCTCTATGAGAAAAGTTAATGTCAACTGGGATCCATTACTTATTTAGTGGAGTAATTTCACTTGCTCTTTTGTACAACTATATTTTGAAGAGATTTTCTCCATTTCAACTCAAATATATTTATTGTAATCTATTTCAAACTTTACTGTTCTAATAAAAAGCACCACTAAGATTAGACTGTTTCCAAATTATTAAATTTAAATAACTTTTTATAACTTTAATAGATTTTGTCTTTACTTTCGAAAAGTTATTTTCGAAAATTTTGAAGATTTTCGGTATATCTCTCTATGGAGAAGTAATTGGAAGTAAATAAATTTTGCTATTAAAACTTTATCAACAGATACCGAAAATAGTACATGTGTACCGTGCGAGGCAAATTGTGCAAGCTGTCAAGAAAGACCGGATCACTGCACCAGTTGTGAGAATCATCTCGTTATGTATGGGAATAAGTGCTTTGCAGCATGTCCCCTCTACACCTACGAAACACAAGATTACAACTGTGTTCCTTGTCATTCCACTTGCGAGACGTGTAATGGCACCGGAGAAAATCAATGCATCAGATGTCGTCCGGGACTCTACGTTCTCAATGGTATGTATTGAAGTCTACGTAAAAGCACAAATATACTAATCAATAGATAAGAAATTTTTTTCCATCTTAAACTTCATCTCTGAAATTATCCTCTGAATTCAATTTATAAAAAATTGATTCTTCAACAAATCTCTTTCACTAAAGAATTGTTTAAAAAGTAATATTAAAAGTAATATTAAAGTAATATAAAAGGATACTGAGAAATCATTGTTCCACCTCATAATCGAATGTTTCAGTACATTCCCAATTGTAATGCGTTAAATTGCTTTCCCCAAAATACCAAGTAAATTATTCCAAAATACCTTTAATTAATTCAAAGGCATATCTCAGGAGGAAAAGAAATACTTTTTACAATAATTCTGATTACTAATTTTACGTATTATTGATTGGATTAATTTAAAACTATAAAAGTACATTCTAATATTTAAATATTTATTCACTCAATTATTATCGCTCAAATAGATTATCATCGTTCTATTTAAAAAGCTTTTCATTTCATAAATTTTCTTTTGAAGCTACTTAAAGCGTAAAAAGCTACTGCTTGGAAATTTATGATATGTACATAACGGAAATCCGGTCGGAATCTGCGATCAGAAACGGCAGTTAAAATCCGTAAAAGAATATAGAATGAAATTTATAGAAGTATCTCAACGATATAAAATCTCGAGGTTGATTTCTGTTAACTCATTCTGATCGAATTCTCTTAAAATTTAAATTCAGATATCACATTAAGTATTTACTTTGTACCACTTAAAATTTACTTTATGTGGAAATGAAAATTCTCATCAACCTGACCTCTGACACTTTCTCTACTACTAATTAGCCGGCTGACACACTTTCACCATGACTAGTGGGTCACTCGGAAACTCTGGCTTTTGACTTATCTTACTAATTAACGATCACGGTTCGGGGACAATTCCGACAGATGATGTGACGATTCACATCGTCAAAGTTGATGTACATTTTTCAGCAATCGAAATAGATTTCTATCCCAAGAAATTGTTTTTTAATTAAAGAGATTAACGTACCATAAACATATTTTTAGGACAGTTCCCGAATCGATACTTGTGTGCACGTCCTCAATGAATCATTCCCAAGAACCACGAACCTTCAACAATGCGCCCTCTTTCATACTTTCGGTGGTCGATCTTACACTCATCGATTTCCACTACCTCACCCTCTTCCTTGAATTTCTGATCAAGTGCAAGCATCTAAATTTAAATACAGTAAGATATCTGGTCAGCAATCATGTCTCGAGTCAATTAAATAGTTACTTTCACTTTCTTCTCAACTGAACCAGACCGACTGATACCAATCGATTAAAAGATTAAAAATAACCGCTGGTATTGATGATGACGGGACCTGACAATAAAATTAAACATACATTAAAATTTATCCCTTCTCAAATTATAAAATGACATGTGGAAAAATTTGTGCTTTTCCAGGACGTTGCACAAATTCATGTCCAAATGGATACAGTGCAGATAAAAAGTATCGTGAATGTATTCCATGTCCGGCACATTGTGCAAGTTGTGATTCATCAAAATGCACCAGCTGTATTTCCGGATGGAGTTTTAACAAGAAAGAGGAATGCATACCAGACACTCGATCTCGTTGTGATAGTTCCGAGTTTTATGAAGCAGGACATTGCAAGCCTTGTCACTCGACGTGCGAGACTTGTGTCGGCCCTACGGAGGACTACTGCATTTCCTGTCAGAATCCGTTACTCCTTCAAGGTAGACGGTGTGTCGCCCAATGTGACGACGGTTACTATTCCAAGGTGCAACCATCGGGACCAATTTGCGCTCCTTGTCTACAGACGTGTAAGACTTGCGTTTCTGAAATGAATTGTACGACTTGTCAAGAATCCTTACAACTACAGAGCGGTGAATGCCGTTCCTCTTGTGCCGAAGGGTGAGTAATTTAACTCAATTTACATAAGTCTCCCAAACGTTTTTTTTTTATTTACAGAACTTGAATACACGAATTTCTTTAGTACAAAATTGACATTAGTCTCAATTAATTTATTTTTAATCTTTGAATTTAGCAAAATAGTAAATTCAAATTAAAGAAAAATTGTAACAATACTGTTTGCAATTTATCATCTTGTACATTCCCATTTTTACGAAAGAGTTTTATTAAGGTCAGGCATTATTGTAAATTATTAGAAGTCTTTATTAGTTTTTCCGTCACACGTAAAGAATTTCGATAGGGGAAAGAAGAAAATTTACCTCTTAAATCATAAATGTTTTTTTTTTCTGTAGTTATTACAGTGACAGGGGTCAATGTGCCAAATGTTATCTTTCTTGTAAAACTTGCTCGGGACCAAGGAGAGATCAATGCGTCAGCTGCCCCACGGCGTGGCAATTGGCATCGGGTGAATGTCACCCCGAATGTCCAGAGGGGGACTTCAAGAGTGAATTTGGCTGTCGAAAATGTCATCATTATTGCAAAACTTGTAAAGGTTTGTATATTTTTTAGTTAAAGAGTCTGACTATTAAAGATGAATTTAGATTAAATAGACGAAATCACTACCAAGGATCTTTACCTTTTAACATTGAGATAAACATCAGCAAAACAAAAACTCACGAACACAAATCTAAGCCGGACAATCAACAATTATATAATGTAGACTTTCAAACTCTTAATGACAACATTTACATAATTTTTCCGGACTAAACACATACTTAATTGTACCATTAGAAATTCTGGTAACATAAATATTTGACAATCGTAGTTAGGCAAAAATTCTTTTATAAAAAACACTTAGCTTAGACACCAAATATGGCTACGTTCCCGGAAGCAAAGAAAGAGAATGATCTCACAGTCCAGGCTATCAATTACTTGAGAAAAACTGTCCCAATGAGGGACTAAATCATAATATTCAAAGAAAACATGTAATTGATTAATCCAATTGAATTTATTATTTGGACCCTTGCGAGACAAGCTCAGCAGTCTATCCAAACAAAACTTAGGAAGAAATAATCTTTATTTTAATTTACAGGAGAGGGACCATTGGAATGCACATCTTGTCCACCGCGATCAATGTTGGAAGGTGGATTATGTATGGAGTGTCTTGGAGGACAGTATTACGATTCTCAAACACAACTCTGTAAAACATGTCACGAGACTTGTCGCACATGTACAGGTCCAGGAAAATACAACTGTGCATCATGTGCAAAACCGCTGCATTTACACAAACTTAATAATCAATGTGTACTCTGTTGTGCAGCTAATGAAAAGAAAGCTGAAAATGATGAATGCTGCCTCTGCGATCCTGATACCGGTCAGTTCAAATATTTACCTTTTAATATTAAATACATAAACTCTTTTCACCATTTCTCTAACATCTATTTACACAACTAATGATTACCTTAAAAAGTTCACTTACAAATTTTAACTAGCAACAAACTTTTCATTAAATTTAATTAAGAAAAATATCTAGGATTAATTTTTGATTCATTATTAATTTAGTTGATGCCGAAAAAAAGAAAATGCGACGTAATTAAAATATTTTACGCCCGCCTTTATGAGAACATAATTAGTACATCTACTTTAACCTTGTTAGTTCATCAAATAAAAATAGAACATCATAAGTTGAGACAATGGTTATTCATCCATTTCATCATTATTGCAATGAGCTTCCATTTCTATACATTTGTAAAAATTGATGGTTTTCAGAGTCCAATTAAATACTTCAGTACAATTGGAAAAAAAGTTTATGAATTTACAGACAGTGTTTATCAAATTCGGATTTGTTTTTAAAATGTTGAAAACTGTTGCTAATAGTACAGATACAAAATATTTTTAATTACTTTTGATTTATTTGGAAACTATCTGAATGGAGTATTTTTTTCTAAAAACAGGAGGGTAATTTTTACTTTTCTATTTCTGATTAAAGGTGGCTGCAGGAATAGTTCGCCGGCTGGAAAAAGAAGAGTGCCAGGCACTGAATTGTCGTCGTTAGATACGTTAGAAGTGGAAAGTGCAGCACAATATGGCAACACTCACAATTTGGATGTTGATTCATTGAATACATCCGCAATGACAGTCATGACCCTTGGTATTTTTATTTGCATGGCTTCAGTCACTTTATTTGTGAGTGTATTCGGCGTACTTCAGGTATTTATCTTTCTTTCTAAAGTATTTAACCTTTATTAATGAATAGAATTGTAACGATAGCATTTCAAATCTAACTAGAGTAATATTTCATGCATAAAGTTTATCTATTTATACTACAGCGTACAACAAGGTCGCTGATTACGATTCAGGGGGTCGTTTCTGTAACTTTTATACTTTCCACTTTCACTTCCCACCATCCACTAACACTTTCCATTCCCGCGTCCCACCTTTCACTTTCCATTCCCACGTCCCACCTTTTACTTCCCACCCTCCACTAACACTTTCCATTCCCACCTTTCACTTTCCACTCTCACATCCCACCTTCCACTAACACTTTCCACTCTCACATCCCACCTTCCACTAACACTTTCCACTTCCCACCTTCTAGTTTCCATTCCCACCTTTAGGTTTCCACTCTCACATCCCACTTTCACTTTCAACCTTTCACTAACACTTTCTACTTCCACTTCCCACCTCACACTTTCCATTCCCACGTCCCACTTTTCACTTTCCACTAACACTTTTCATTCCCGCGTCCCACCTTTCACTTTCCACTCTTACGTCCCACTTTCACTTCCCACCTTTCAGTTTCCATTCCCACGTCCCACTTTTACTTTCCACCTTCCACTAACACTTTCTACTTCCACTTCCCACCTCACACTTTCCATTCCCACGTCCCACCTTTCACTTTCCACTCTCACGTCCCACTTTCCACTAATACTTTTCATTCCCGCGTCCCACCTTTCACTTTCCACTCTCACGTCCCACTTTCACTTCCCACCTTTCACTAACATTTTCCACTTTCCACTCTCACTTCCCACCTTCTAGTTTCCATTCCCACCTTTAGGATTCCACTCTCACATCCTACTTTCACTTTCCACTAACACTTTCTACTTTCACTTCCCACCTTTCACTTTTCACTCTCACATCCCACATTCACTAACACTTTCCATTCCCACCTTTCAGTTTCCATTCTCACGTCCCACCTTTCACTTTTCACTCTCACATCCAACTTTCACTAACACTTACCATTCCCACGTCCCACTTTCACTTCCCACCTGTTAGTTTCCATTTCCACCTTCCACTCTCACATCCTACTCCTACTTCCCACCTTCCACTAACACTTTCCACTTTCACTTCCCACCTTTCACTTTCCACTCTCACATGCCACTTTCTATTCCCACTATTAGGAGTGGAAAGTGAGAAATGGAACTGAAAAGTGGGGAGTGAGAGTGGAAATTAGGAGATGAAAGTGAAAACGAAAGTGGGAAGTAAAATTAGAAGTTGTAAATAGGGAGTGAAAGTGGGGAATGGAAAGTTAGTACAAAATGGAAGGTGGAAAGAGAAAGTAGAAGGTGGGAAGAAAAAGTGGGAGTGAAAGGTGGAAAGTGAGAGTGGAAAGTAAGAAGTAAAAAAGTTACATAATTGTCACCTTGATGTCAAGTTTTCAAAATTCAAAATGGCGGATCCAATATGGCGGAAATTTTTAAAAAACTTAATCCGATTTACTTAAAAATTGTTATGAGGGTGTTTTCAAGGTTGCTGATTAAGATTCCAATGCTAGTTTTCCAATTGGGACGTCAAAAAAAATTTTACTTACAGATTCGTAATCTAAAACAAAAATCCTAAAATTATCCACTATTGTTTATTTTTTTAGCAAAAGAAACCAAATTTTGTCGTCCAAAGAAATTGATACAAATTGATATGCAAAGAACACCAGTATATCAAATTATAAATTAATAATTCTTGTTTAACTAAGTTTCCTGAATCGTATGTTCTAGTTACTGTCCAGAAGAAGAGAAGTTTCAATGGGATACACTCAGCTGGCTGTAAGAGTGGAACATTTGGACGACATAGACGTCGATGATACAACCGAGCTTATGACGTAGTTCTTTTAAAGAAAGTGTTGTCATCCCATGCCGGAAGTAACATCAGTGGTTGACGAAAGAAAATACCAACAAAAAAAAAACTGAAAAAAAAGAATGTCCTACTCGAGAACAGGCTTTTCGGAACAATGGGAGGCATTTCGTTTTAGAAAACTCCTTCAAAACCTTTAAGCCTTATTCCAGCTTCGAGTGAAAGTGATTGTTTCTTTTAAAAAAAAGAAAATACAAACTTCACATTAAAGAAAAAAGAACAAAAAAAAATTTCGAGTGATTGTGCTTAAAAAAAAATTGCGTCATATGTCTTTGTACAGAAGTGAAAAAAATGTGTATGAGTGAATAAAATATGTATGTCTGTAAATATTATTGCGCTGCGTTCGAGCCAACGAACAAACAGAAGAAAAATGAAATTTGATTTATAAATCAATGAAAAGCTCGCACGAAGTGCAAAATTTGTAAGTAGAAATAATTTCGGTCAGTGTTTATCTGTCCGATTTTTACGAGTTAGGTAAATCGATGCACAGAAATGGATTTCAGTTCGTGATTATAGATGAATTGGATCAGAGAAAAGCATCAACGACAAAACGATGAAGGCAGAAAAAGAAACAATTTTTTTGCAAAAGAGGGTGAAAGACGGTGTTAAGTGCCTGATTAGTGACACCTTTTAACCCTCCTTCCCCCTTTCCCGTCCTTCGATCGTCTTTTTTATTCTGCCAAATACCTTCCCCTAGTGAAATATTAGCACGCGTACTCTTATCGTGGAGAGTTTATCGGAATTGGAATAAAAAAAAAATGTTTGGCTTCCTTTATAATATTTCTCCTAATTTAAAAAAAAGTACTAACTTCTTTTTTTCATTAATTAAATTAATTAATTTAAATGTGAATCATTAAGAAATTTATATTTTTAAAAATTCCTGTATTTTTTACTAAATTTAGTTAATATTAGGTGAAATATAATATAGGGGAAGCATTTCTCTTCCTTTGTATTGTTTCATTGACAAAACATGGGGAAAACTCTTTAAAGAAAGAGTTGATAAAAAAAAAGTGTGAATGAAAACGATTCTGGTCCTCCATCGCAATAATTGTAAAGTCATCGTCCCTTTGTATATTTGTATGAATGAACGTGACGATGCTGAGAGAATTAATCTAGGGTTAAAGGGAAGGATATCGAGCGTTTAAGAACTTATGAAAAGAAGGTAAGGCAAATAAGTCGGAATATTAAAATTTTTTTTATTTCTACTCTTTCATGACTCTTGTTAATTTTTTTTTTTAAACTATTTTTTATTAATTTGACTTTCTTTTTTATATGCCATAATTTTTCAAAACCGACTATATTCTTAGATTTTGTTTTATTAATATTTGATTTCTACTTTTTGTTCATTTTAAATAACATTTTTTCCCCTATTTTGATATTACTAAAAATGTATAAATTTTCGCAAAAAAATGTATTTTCCGTTCATAAAAAGAATATGTTTTTTATATTTTTTAAATAAACGAAAGTATTTTTTGCGATGAGCACACGATATTCCGCAAATCGATATTCTCGTAAAACAACCACCCACTATGTGAATATTGAACTTCTCGTGATTTTATATAATGCTATTATTGTACTTTTATGATGAATGCGATTATAAATATATACATATTATATAAAAATTTGTTTTTCTATTTCGTTTTGATTACCTAAAGTCCTTGGTATACTTGAAGAATTCTAAATACCTAAATGTATAAGAAAATAAATAATTTTTCTTTTAGATGTTCAAAATATTTTTGTTTTAATTTTATTTTTACTCGTCTTTACTTTAAAGAAACAATGATGGAAAAAGTTGCGGAAGGATTTGAAAAGAATCTGCAGACATCAACGTCGCAAAACTTTTCGCTTGGCTGGTGCTTTTACAATTTTCTCTTTCTCCCTCTCTTATTCGGGAATGAAACAAAACCTTTCATTTCATTTCTCTACGACACACTTCCGGCTTGTGTGCTTTTGCAAAACCAAACGCCAAAGTTCCCCGAGTCTCGTTCATTAACCGCTAATTTTCCGCGGCTCCAAGATGCCGCGGCGAAATTGAAAAGAACTCTTTTGCTGTAATTATTTGACAAAACTTGACTGAATGCTGAGAGTTCTTATTAAGAGGAAAATTAAGAAATCCAAAGGGAATACATAAAATTTCAAATAAGGTAATAAAAATGCAAAACAAAGTTATAAAAAAAAATGAAGTGACACTTGACAATTAATCATTATTCGTTAGAAAAAATAAATACGATTATCCGGAAATATAAAATTTGCAAAACAAAATTTATTTATATATTTTATATATTTCACAACTATTTTTTTTTAATGATATAAGGAGGATTCAACAAAATACAATCATTTGACAATAAATGTTTTCGTTGAATGAAAGAAGGGCATTTTTAATTTAATGAAATTGAAGTTCTTTGTTGTGATCCTTTATCTCAGGAAATGTAATCTGTCTTTGAATCAAAGTAAAAGAAGAATTGTAAAAAGATTATATTCTTGTAATACAATACGAGAGAAACTTCTATTCGATATTTTTGTTTGCAAGAAAATAAGCTGATAACGTTTTTCTTTTGTTTTTATCTGTTATGTTTTGATTATTTCTAATTTAAAGAAACTACAATTTAGAACTCGGAAGAAGATAAATCTATTATTTTGCTTTTGCTCCATAAATTTATTTAATGTCTAGTTATATTATTTTGTTGAAAATGAAATACTAAACGGAAGAAAAATTTAATTATATTTATTTGACGCTATGGAGTGAAAAAAATTAAAGACAGTGTTACGTCCCGAGTGGGAGCGAGACTTTTAAACATAATTATGACTATTTTGTTATCGTTTTGGAAACTTGTTCTACTCTAGGTGTCGGGTACCCGAACCTAAAAAAGGTTCTGGGTGTCGATTCTGTAACATTTCCACTTCCCACTCTCCCTTTCCACCTTCCACTTTCGTTTCTCACTTTCCCCTCCCACTTTCCACATTCACTTCCCAAATGCACTGTCCACTTTCCACTGCCCACATTTACTTCTCACCTTCCACTCCCACTTTCCACTTACTACTCTCACTTCCCACATTCACATCCCACCTTCCACTTCCCACTTTCGTTTCTTACATCCCCCTCCCACTTTCCACATTCACTTCCCACTTTCGTTTCTCACTTTCCCCTCCCACTTTCCATATTCACTTCCCACTTTCGTTTCTCACTTTCCCCTCCCACTTTCCACATTAACACCCCGCATGCACTGTTAATGTGAAAATGTGAAATGTTAAGTGAAACATAATTGTAACCTAATTTAATAAATGCAACTTAAAATCAAGATATTAATATTTATTGACTTTTATCCTTAACCCAATAAGATTTCTTAGAAATTTCTTATTTAAAACAGACAAAATTAAAAATACCAGGAAAATGAAAAGATTAAGTGGTTAACAATAACTCAGCAAATTAAAAAAGAAAATAAATAAAAAGCAGGTGAAAGAATATAAACGAAAGTGATAATAACCCATTTTATTTGGTATCAGGGAGTAGTTTGTCCGAAAAGCCACATATTCACCACGTAGACAAGCCATTGATCTTGGCTTTTAACTTTCCTCGGTGAGTCATCGCAATTGCGCCTTTTCTTCTCTCAGTAGTTTTGAGTAGAAAAAGAGAGAGAGAGAGAGAAGACATTTCTTTTATTTTTCTCTTCATGCCGCCAACGTCTTATTTATTTTCCGCGGTCTCGCAATCGAACGTGTCTTGCATATAGACTTTAAATTGCGCATATATGCAATTTTCTAGTGCACACATAAAGCATCCAGTGGCATGAAAATCGAAAAAGTCATGAATATAAAAATTATCTGTTTCGTACCAATGTTCGAAAAGAATTATTGAAAAAAGTATTACCATTTATTTTAGAAAATCGTAAACATTTGTTGTAATAGATTTACTGTTTAATGAATTCCAATTTAGAGATTCGAAATGGAAAGGGTGAAGACGTTAGGGAGTTAGTGTACTTAGTAATGGTACCGTTTAAACTTGTATTGTATGCTCGCTTGTATCCCCTTGAACTCAATGTCAAGCTCAGTTCAAAAGTCTTCTTCAAACAGTTAACATCTCAACTTGTATGTACAAGTGCTACAGAGGGATTAGACGTTAAGGTAAATTGCATTTCTACAAACTCAATTACTTGTAAAAAATAATCTTTAGAATGAGGCAAAGCGTCAGTACCAAGAAATCATATCAATAAATGATCTTAAATATTGCAGACAATTCGGGGGTTGAATATTCATGGTCTTAATTCCAAAACTAGTAGGATTGTTAATTTTGCTTCGTTTATTTTTTGTTTTCCTTACTATTCTTTAATTAAATTTACGATACATTTAAATGTGTGTGGTTGTTTTAAAACTGACATTCAATTATTTTGTAGATGAAAATAGGTGGGATAACGTAACCCCTTTTTTGCGGGCAATTCATAAATTCATGAGGATTCCAAAGGCGTAAAACGTAAGACTGCAATTTTCAGGATATTCACTTGAAAGCGTGCTTAGAGGAAAGGAATAAATAGAGGGTGATTGAACTTGAGAGAAGCATTTGTAACCTCAGACTAACCCTGTCTTTCCTCAAAAAATATAGAGGAGATATTTTTAGTCACTTTCACTAACACAATTATAATACAATAAAAAGAAATTTTTTTTATTTAATTACACTTGTTATAACACGTACAATGTGACCACAAGGGATTTATAAGGTCTGAAACTTTCAGTATTGAAAAAAGTTATCAAGAAATAATCTGGCGCATGAAAAGTTCAAGTCAATATGTTTTTAAATAAATATTCTCTCACAACATTTTTCAGGCTCATTGACTTATCCTCATCCCAAATTAGATTTAACTCTAAAACTAATTTAAAACAAGAAACATAGATAATTTTATATTTATGGAAATTGAAAACCAATTTATAACTAAGGTACAACATCAGTAAAGTAAATAAAAGATAGTCAATAATTGAAAAGAAAATAGCTTCAAAAAAACTAACCACAGAAAAGGAGAATTTAAAAAAATCCATACGCCTGTTAAAGGATTAGAGATGGAATTATAGGTTTTAGTGAAAAAAAAAATTGGAAGATTGACCTAACACCCACGAACTTTGTCGTTACAGGTTTTAACCCGATTACGTCCTTTCTAGATTGGCGTATTGGTCGATAAATCGGGATAACGTACCATACCGTAAATTCGAGAACGATAATTCGAGCAGCTAGGTAGGAATCCACTTTTATCAGTTTCAACCCTGTCACGTAAGCGGATACCGTAAATTTGTAAAGGGAAATCCCTGCGTGAACAGGGATTTTACGATAATATATACCTATATAGATCGTTTAATTAGCCACGCGCGATATGTCTAAACCAAAACTGATTGCAATAAAGTCTCCCATTCTGACACAACAAAGTGAATATCAAAACTTCATTTCATATCAATGTAGGCAAGTGATCTCTCCACCAAAGGCTGTGTGAATATTGCAAAATCAAATTCCTATCAAAATTAATTCTCACCAAAGTTAACAAAATAGTAGTCAATGCATCTACAATGTAAATTCACAAAAATTTCTACATTACGAAAATTGTAATCAAAAGATTAACTGTCTCAAAACTCTTTTATATTGTCACATTCTTTTTTAATTAAGTTTGTTATTAATTAACATTGAATGGGCAGCAGTTTTACATAATACTTCCCAGAAGATGTAATTAAATCAAATTTTAATTTTCTAAAAACACTTCAGACAAAACTCTACTAACTAAAAGTACGAAACAGAAAATCAGAAATCCATAAATTATCAATCAGAAAGAGTACTACTCTACACGAAAACATAATCAATTATTTTGCAAAGTTGAAAGTGTTCAGGACAATTTGTTAATTGGAACTAACTATCAGAAAAGCAGAGAGTAATAGGTGTACGTAACTAGGGAATATTGGTATATAAATTTATATTTGGAGTAGTTAGATAAATTCATAGTTCCCCTGACAAAGGGAGATAACACATGGAGAGTAAGCTACTCACCGGCAGAGTGGTGTGATTTGACCGATACTCCGCTGTACGATTTATTTGCAGACTTTCGCTCGCGTTCGCCCTGCCACAAACTATGAAAAATGGACGTGTTTTTTGTTCATAAACTAAATAGCATGGCTGCACAGCTGAGCTTTTACGATTTTTCTGTCAGTATATTATCTTCTATTCACAGTCAATGCACAATATTTTTTTTATCCTTTCAAATTCAGGATTATTGCTTATTTTTTTCGTCCCTTTTTTATAGAGGAAACAGAAATTATAAAATTGGAAAT